CATCAACTGATGAAAGATATGCCACTAATATCCTGCCATCTGCTCGGGCTTCAAGGGCTTCCATTAGGAAGACGGATACTGTATCTGGATGCTACAATGTACCATAAAAATATTTCCTCAAAGCTTAAACTTAAAACACACCTGGCAACCTGCCAGGACAAGCATTGTTTACAGAGTTCTGAGCTTCACCATCCAAACCTCCGGTCTTCAGAGAAAAGTTCAGATTTTCACACAAATGCAGAGGATGACGTGAAGTATTGACCAAACATTCACATCAGTCATCTGCCCCAAAGACTTGCTCTCATCTTCGACATGCTACAAACAGATCCGTCAAAAACAATCAAAACATTATTTCAGCTGACTAAATATTTTATTCAAATATACAGTGTTTTCCTTAACTCTGGTAAAAACTTCAGGGATGTAAAATCTGGCAACATTTCAAAGACCTATCGAGAACGAGAAGACCACCCTACAATGGTGCACATTATTAAAAGGTTTTCTATGATAAAAGTAGAGAAAAAAAAGAGGAAATGTGATGAAAACACAAAAACAGAAACATATGTAAAATGGTTTAATAACAGTGCTGGAATAAATTCAGAAAAAAAAAAATACTGTATTCTGAAAGACTCATGATTGGGACACCACGTTCACACCTACAGTCAGTGTCCAGTTTACCTATTCCTCAATCTGCAGATAAAAAAATCTACACACACAGGGAGAACACGCAAACTATCACAAATAGATGGGGTTCAAACCAGGGATGTCTAAACGGCATCGGTCCGATATTGATCACAATTTCAGGATCGAACATTGAAATAAACATCTGTAGCCCGTCAGATCTGATACCTAAGACCAAATGGTCAACAGAACTTTGCACAACAAGCGCAGATTAAACATGGACACTACTGACTCAGCAGAAGATATCGGATGAATATAGGTATCGAGAGAGACTCCAAGTTGCGGTATCGGTGTCTGAATGTTATATCCAGCCATCCCTGGTTCAGACAAGTGTTTTCTTCCTGTAACGCGAGAAAACTAACCCTCTTTCCTAAAATGTGACATTCTTGGTAGCTTTGCACTTTTTTAGATGATCAACATATTGACGATCTAATATTGTACTAGCCAAATCATCAACCGAAGAAACGGTTTTCAACGTTAATGTCACAGATTTACAGAAACCATTTCCCTTTCTCAGAAATGTAGCCAGAAAACAACACATTTATCAGCTGTTTTGTTTTTCTTCCCCGCTGAGAGAATAAGTGTCACTCATCATGGGAACTGCTGCACAGCACACACTATAAACTGCAAACAACAACACATTTCCACATTGAAATATATTTCCAATCACTGTTTGGATGAGCCAAGCGATGAGTAAAAAACGCTAACTTGCAGCAGAAAAACTGCTGCTATAGGTTAGCAGACAGGGAATAAACCATCTGTGGACCTCTTGAGTTCAGCAGCAGCAGCAGTAACAGTGAGAGAACACAGGGAGAATATATGCTTCCTAATTTTTTAGCTCTGGCTCTCCACACTATAATTAATTGCAATTGCACTTTTTTTGTGTGTTAACTACCGGCAGTAGAAAGAGGAAGCAGGAACCTTGAACAAGGCAGAATACATTAATATATTTATGCAGCCTGCTTTTAACTTTGCATTATTAAAAGTGATCATTCCTTCTGCAGGATACCAGCCAACGTGCATGCTGATCATTATTTTCCCGCAGAAGGGAAAGTGATCCGTGTGCATGCGGAATATGTAATTATGGAATTGTCTGAAATCAGATGGACTTTGACAAACAATCCAGAGGTTTATTAGCAGGTGCTTATTCATATTTCATAGACACCTTCCACTGTTCACTCGCTGCCGACGAGGATTCGAATCAGTTTGAAAACCTTTCAGCTTCATTTTACTCTCCAGCCTCAGACGGGAGCCATGCTGTGTAAAGGCTGAGACGTTTTAACGTTTTAATTTAACAGGGGGAAACACATGTACTACGGTGTGTACTTGTACTGCGTACAAAATTAATGACACAATCGATGACTGCGCCGTGTAATTTAAATGTTTACATACTGTGATTAAATATTCATGCCATGCATTAAATATATGTATGTATGTATGTAAGTATGTGTTTTATTATGATTTGAAAAGATGACACTTACTATATATTAACATCATTCTATTCTATAGTCTATATTTTACATTATTAAAATCTTAGCCAGGGGTGAAGGAGAAAAATATAGTTATAATAAAACACTATATATATTTAATATTCATATATATGAGTCAGAAGAACCACTGTACAAAACACACGTTTGCAGAATTAGATAATCACCACACGGGCCATCTTTTAAAAGGTCGGAGGTGAACTTTGTTTTGATGACTTACGGAGAAAAAAACTAACACATGTCCTTCAGAGTTTTATCATTGTATCTTTGTCAAGTGTTGAGCTGTGCTACGTTTTACTTCATACAGTTCAGGTTTTTCAACATTCAAAACCTTGAATGAAAGCTTGGTGTTGTTACATTAATATTAACCGTAACTTTAAGAACATTTGAAAATAACTCAGTTTTAATTTCGGGGCCAAAGAAAGACGTGGTGAGAAATTCATCCCACAGAATTCTACATAAAAGGAATCCTTGGACAGGAAATGCCACTAACAAAATGATTAAAACTTATAGTTAAAATATATAGCCTCAGTATAAAATGTAGATAAAGGGCTTCAAACTTTTTTGGTATCTGTCAATCTGGCGTGAACCTAATTTCATGGCAGCAAAGAAGAAGAATCTTCTTCTATTAGCAGTTAATACTTGTAATTGTTTCTGTAACATTTAATGTTGATGTAATGCAGTAATTTTAACTTTTTCTGAGACAGGGCACAAACAAAGCCATGAAGTACCAACAACAAAGAAGTATTCTTCATGAAATAAAATTATCTTGCAATCTAGTTTCAATTTACTCACAATTCACTAAGTCAGTGTAAAACTTGGGCCTGTTTAGTTGAACACAATACTGATACGAATGCAGGAATTGAAGAAAGACACTCACTAAGATCTCGGTAATAGTAGGTCAGTAATAGGTGATAGATGCTAATGATGCTAATCCAGCATATTGTTTAGCAATGTTAAGAGTCTACCATGGATGTAGACCTATAAATGGATCGATAGTATTAGCGCAGACGTACATGTACCATGGTGCATAAACCATGGTACATGTAGCCTGTTCCTGATGGAATAGATGACTAAATCCGTCAGTCATGACATAAAATGTGTTATAACGTGTTAAAGCCTAATGGTCCTTGTCATGCTAGCACTTAACATTACTGTGTGTGAATAAAAAGTTATTACATTTAGCAAAAGCATGAAACATTAAAATCATAATTATATAAAACAGGAAGGAAAATAATGGCTGAGGAAAGAAAAAGACAACAGTGGTAGCAGGAGTGTTTGTCTTTGATGGACACAAACAGTCAGCAGGACGGTGGATTTATAGCACTGTCCCGGCTCCTAATGACTCTTCAAACCATCCTCCAGCAGTTGAGATGCCTCATCAATTTAATTACTTTACGACAGCAGCCCGCCTCATGCTGTCCAGAGTCGCAAGATTCACCCTGCACTTATAAATATCCCAGAAGATAGATTTGTAGCTGTGTCAAAGAAGGACATAAATAGACAAGCTACTCTGCGTCGTTTGAGCATAAAAAAAATCAATTGGAATTTAGTAGAACAAATTTAATTTAAAGTCCATGTGTCAGCTTGTTTCTTCGTTAGGAAAGATGCCTGTCGTACTTTGTGTGACAAAGATAAAAGGACCATCCAGACTGGTAATTGTAATTGTAAATGTGATGAATCCACAATCTGTGTTATTATGGAGAGGCGCAGTGGCCAGGCCATGAGTCGTCTGCATATGGTGGTCGTAAAGACAAAATTACAGTATCTTTATTTATGAAAATAGATTTTACCTTTATATATATATATATATATATATACTTCATACTACAGTTAGTGAATTTATATATATATATATATATATATACCTATATATATATATAACTTGCAACTAAATATATATGTTTTACTGTATACTGTAATTCATACTTGCACCTAAGTATATATGTTTTACTGTATACTGTAATTCATATATGAATATATATGTACAGTATATACATACATACATATATGTATGGATGTATTTGTTTGTATACAAATTTATATATATGCATATATATATATACATGTATATAAATTTATATATATGCATATGTATATGTATATATATATATACACACATACATATATGTATATATATATATTCATAAATTCTTCACAGAGTTACAGCTTTCAACAAGTTTGATTTTATATACATTTAAAAGTGCAGTGCTGAAAACACATAGCACAGTTTTTTCTCTGACAAAGTAACTTTTAAAAAAAACTGTCAAGACACGAACAAAATAAATTAACTATAAACCATATACTGTAGCTTTTTATTTTTCTAGCTGCAAAAATCCTTCAGTAATTAGGAAACAACAGTATGTCATTATTTCAGCAAATTATGTTTAAGGACATGTAGAGCTGTTACATTTATTTAAAGACGTTTTCACCGAGGACGTGATAGTTTTAGTAAATGTTAGATGAATGCAGATGCTGTTGCTATAGCGACCTGATGCCCAAATGCCCCTATCAGGGCACAGCCATGCAGGGAGCCATTTAAACTTAAATAACCTTTTTGTTTTACACTTTTATATAAACAAAAACAATATAATAATAATGTATTAATTTAAGATGAACTGCCGTAAAAAAAATGAATATATTTGAAACATTTTACATTTGAAGAATATTTCAATTCTATTAAAACATTTTGATGCTGCATTTGTATTACTACATTTTTTTATTTTACTACCTGTAGAGGTCGCCATAATTTTCAAAAAGTGTATCAGCAATATGTCTAGAGAAACCAGCGTCTCTTCTACCCTTGTATGAAGAAGAATTGAGGAAGACACTTACCATGCAGCCAGATGATTCCAACTGTCGGTCAGAAACACACTTGAAGTTCTTTTTGCAGCCACCGTTATCTTTGGTGCAGTCACGCACAGGCCCGAAAGATGCCAGCAGGTCTTCCACGGTTTCAAAGTAGGTGGACATCATGGCCTCCTCCCTGAAAAAAAGGTTCAGGAAAAATAAATAGTTTAAAAAAGAAGTGAAACACGTACAGAAGCCTGAAAACAAGTTTCCATGATGTTGACAAAGAAAGACCAACGTGTCAACAGCAAAAACAAATCCTTCACCACCTGAATGACAAACTCTGATAACTTTTCTCTTCAAGTGTGATTGAGAAGCCATTCACTCTCATGCAACCCAACAATACATTGGTTTTGTAATGACTTCTGCAGCTACCCCTGCAACCGCTGGCTTCTGGCAGTATTCCGGACAGCTGTATATATATATATATAAAAGTGTGGATTGTTTGTAACAAAAAAATAACAGGTTACTGATTACAGTGAAGATTTACCACGGCAGGTTTGTTCTGGCCGCCGTAGTCTTATTATAAAGCAGCAGAGCCAAAGGCAAACATCAATAATCCTTCCAAAATTACCTGACCCTAGTTCAACCTTGGGTGTGTGTCTTGGTGAGTCGTTGTTTACCCCAGACTACAGACAGAAAGTTTTCTGTAGTTTGTTGTTACGCTTCCTAAATATGCAGTAAAAAAAAAAAAAAAAAAATCTGTAATTTGGTAAATCAACTTAAACAATTTTAAAAAGCTAATAAAGCAAGAAAAAATATAAGCAATTGTTTTTTTTTAATCTTTTGTAATTAAAAAGTAATTGCCTTACTAGGGAAGAATATGGCACAAAATAACTCAGTGATGCTCAACCACTGTGCCGTGGCACACTAATGTGCCGTGAAAGATCATTAAGTGTGTCGCAAGAAATTATGCAATTTAACTTAATTGATCCCAAATCGATTATTTATTTCTTGCAAATAATTTTTGTCTATGCGTGACAGGCAGAGCAATTAAATCATCTTCCACTAGGTGGCAGTAGATGGCTATAAAACGTTTAAAAAAAATAAAATAATGAGAGCTGTTGAAGAAAATCTTTGTGCGTGATTTTCTTTAATTCTTGCCAGTATATTAATGTTGTCTTCGGGAAGATTATTTAGTCTTTTCAGTCAAAGACTAAAAGGAGTTATGGCTTTCATAATTGACCGTTGGCATTGGAAATAAAAGAAACAAATGACATATTATTTTTCCACAGTATTATATTATATATATATTTGATGGAATTATATTCTATTCCATTGTAATATATTATAGTATTAGAATTACTTTATTATATATAATTTCTCTCATTAATGTTATATCATATTATACACTATCTTGCTCCATCTTGATGATTTACACTGGACTACGTTTGTGAATGATTGTAACTTTGGTAGTGATTGGACATGTCTGACATGGTCTGTTGATGGAGAGCCCCAGGGAATCAGCAACCTCCATCCATTATGTCTCAACTAATCCATGCTAAAGTTGTCCAGGTCCGCCCTAACTGGCAGCGTTCAAAGAGACAACGGAAGGACAACAGAGGTGAAAGCACAAACAAAGACCTGGACGTCTCCGTGGTGGACATCATGTCAGAGTCAGTTCTACATTAGTACTGTCTTTACATCAATAGAGCACTTAATACAGAGTCACATGGGATTTGTTTGGAGCTCTGACAGCACAAAGGCATCCAGACGATACAGGCTACGGAGATCAGGACGACTTTAACTCACATCTCATTTTCTTATGACACAAGAAAAACCCAGATATTCTTCTCTAAGTTTTTTTTTTTTTTTCAGACAGTTTTAACTAGGGTGAATGAGAACATAATTGAGTTTCAACACCATTTCAACATTTTGGTGTTGTTTCTAAGTTCTCTTCTCTGTAATATGCCACACAAGAAACAGTAAGACATTCCCTGATGGGAATTTCGTTAAAAATAATGTTTGGTGGACTCAATAAAAAGATCTGAGAAAAAGAGAAATGTTTCAAATCTGCCCCTCAAGATGGATCAGAACGCTGAGAGAGTTCTTTGTTCTAATACACAGTTGATACACACAGTATAATTACATGTGTAACATTTTAGATACGTTAATATGTACACCCCCCCCCCCCCCCCCCCAGCTACTGCTGCTGACGTCCTCTGAGGATCGTGCTGAGAGATACTCAGTCCCTTTGCCCCCCCCCCCCCCCCCCCCAGCTACGCTATCTTCAATGGTGGAACTGAACCAGCATTTCTCTACTTAACTACCCGTCCGTTTCGTAAACCACTAAATGACCAGCTGCCTCAAAACAACTAATTTCACAGTTGTTGTGAATTGTTTATATTATAGGAATAAAGTGAGAAAAGTTTATTGTTTACTGTGAACAACAGACGATGGTGGATCAACACGTTCAACTGTAACTTTAGGAAAAAGACAGTTGAAATATAAATATTGGAGAGAATTTGCAGAGAACTTCCACGAGTTATTACGAATGCCTTTGTTTGGCTGTCTAATTCTTTGTTGCTGTAGTGCTGTTGTTGGTGAGAGTGTCCTCACTGAAGCAAAAATCCAGGCAGGCAATGACATTTCTTACAAAATGTTTTTTTTTTTCTTTTTGTTTCATTTCTGTGTGTTTTTTTTCTTTTGTTTTCTGAGAAATGCCAGTCAGCCGAGCTCAGCTGCTGTGTTGATTTCAGTATTCTCAGACATGCTCATACACTGAGTTCTGCTGTCAGTCTGAGTGAAGGGGTAGGCAACCCCCGTGTTTTTCTTTGCACAGAAATCAAAAGCACCGTCTCTTCCAATGGGACCACGGGGACCAGAGTGTGTTGTGAGGGTGACCTGACACCACAAACAGCAACAAGATCTCAAATGATGGGAAGACACATTCCCTGCTGAGCGAAGATGGTTTTGTCATGCCGTGACTGTGAGTCTTTGTCTCTGGGCACCAGAGGGCTTATGTTGGAAGTCTCATTTCAGACAGTGGATGAAAGGGGCCACTGCACCCATTATATACATATTGATGTGGCCATTATCAATCGACTTCAGTGTCCTCAAGTAACTTCTCGCCAGAGTGGACGCAAATAATCCCAGAGTCAGTCATCGGACAAAGACGTTAAGACAAAGATTTCTCCATTCCTAAAAAACAAGTTGAGCTTTGACAAAGTGTAAATCAAATTCATAAAATTCTGCATTGTTTTGTGGAAATTCTGCATATTGTGACCTTGTCATTTGCTGAAGGCAACAAGGAAAAAAAAGTATTAAAATTCATTGAAAGCCCAGCAATGCTGCGTGCACAGCACTGACAAAAGACCTCTGGCATCTCAGTTTTATAAAGAAAAGAAAAGAAAAGCCATGTGGGTATAAATATAAATGATTGTTTTTCTTTTCCAAAATGCCGGCCATTTGTGGTCAGCGTTTTGAAGACTGTTTTAATCCTTGATAGTGTATTCAGTGGGGAACTTTATGAATGATATTTTCACTCTTCATGTTAGATTTATTGCACGTCAGTCTGTAATTGGCAGGTAGTTCTGGTGTGAGCGATGAAGTATTACAATTCACCGACAACCCCTCACAGCAGTTCCCTTTCTGCAAAATCAATCCTTTTCTGGCTCTGCTTTCTGCTAAAAGCAGGATCAGTCTCTGTGTGTATGTGTGCGTGTGGCTGTGTGTGTGTGTGTAGTGTTACACCTACTAGCTTGCTCCTCCTTTTTTGTAATTAAAAGTCAGTCAACTGGCTCGGTGTGTTATAAATCAACATCTACCGTTCCTTTTTTTAACCCCAATTAAGAACTAATTCTAAAGTGAATCTGAAAATCAAAAAACAACAGAAAGTGAACTCTGCCACACAGTAGGAAATGATTAAAGACACATTTTAATACAATTATCACAGCACTGAGTTTAGAATTGGTAAAATGCTCAGTTTGCTCAGATTGGATGTAGCCTCTTAACACATTCGGTTTCTTTCAGAGCAATTCATCTGAGTAATTACTTATCCGGCCACACGAGCCGATATGACACGGTGAAGTTTATTTTGGAAATAAGCTAGTTAGCAGTCCAAGTGAAGTGCACAGGTAAACAAATATCAAACAGTCTCTTTAAAGGTTAGGCTAAAGACACAGGATAAAAATATCCTGTCTCCTGAAAGAAATGACTCTGAGTATCACCACGTCTCATGTTAAATTTCACAAGACTATTTCTTTTCCTAGACTGGAAAAATATCGTAGTTCATTTTATTTCAAAAGCATTAGTGCTAAAGATTAGCATCTGACAGACATGCCTGTGAGCTAGCAAGAGCTTCAAACGATAAAATTTGAAAATGTAAATTAACTCTCTGGTTACAGTTAGCATGAACTCCAAGACAGTGTTGTCTATACATATTCCAACCAGAACTCTAGTCTATGGAGATTTCGCTTTTATTAGCCTATTACAACTGTTAATATGAGCGGTGGCCAATAGAACAAGCTTTGGCTTCCTGCCAGACACATGCTGTATGAATGAATGGTAATATGATTGAGGTTTCGGGCCAAATTGAGGATAAAACAAAAAATGGGAAATTTTGGGAATAAAGTAGGTTGTAAGTTTAAGAAAATAAAGTCATAGCGAGAAAAAAGTCTATATCTACACTTACGACTTTGATCCTACAATAGAATTTTTCAACAGTTCTGCAGTCTTATAGTGGTGCTAAGATCCTGTCCGACTTTATTGTCATATTTTTAGATTTTTTTAAAGGGGTTTTAATGTTTGTCTTTCAAGGTGACACTGTAATTGATTGGTGAACTCCAGGATATCCTGTCATTGCCCATTGACTTCTGGGATCGGACCAAGTCACCATCCCTCTAGCCGTACTTTCTATGAAATAAAATAAAATAAAATAAAAGCGAAAACTGTTTTCATTGATGCAGTTTTCAGCCTTTTTTGACTTAAAGAATTGTTGTTGCTGCTACTAATTCTATCAATGGTCACACAGCAAGTCAGGCAAACATTGTTACTATTGTTGGAGTATTTTATTTAGTGTAGTAAGTAGTAGTAAATTCAGTAGTAGTAAGTTCACCTTCCACTGAATACTGCTCAAGTACGTTCTTCACTAAACACAGAGGAGGCGCTCGAGTCCCCTGTACGTTCTTCACTAAA